CTCTTCAAGAGGCAGAACAATGGGTTCATTAAAGGCACCAGCTGATCGCTCATAAAAGTAGGTGGGGAAAGATAGTAAGAAAGACTTTTGACCAGAGCTGTCCTCAGTGAGCTCTTCAGATAGAAAAGTCCAGAAGGCCAGCACACCTCGGCGGACCATCTACTGTCTTTATCTGTTGATTTATTCATATATACCGTAGTGTCCTTTGGCTTAGCAAAGTGCTCTCCCAAGCTTTTCCCTGTACTTCCTCCCAGAGGGTGCCAGGTACATGAAGAAACTGGGTAAATCACCGTGACTTTGCCAGACAGTTCAAAATGTCTCAGGTTGCCTTTGAGGTCTGAGCATGCGTAGTATCATAAAGGGCTATCCGCCCTCTTGCCAGAGGCATTGTAAGCAACCCAGGTACAGTTTTGTTTGTTTTTTTGTTTGTTTGTTTGGTTTTACGAGACAAGGTTTCTCTGTGTTGTTTTGGAGGCTGTCGGTCCAGCCTGGCCTCGAACTCACAGAGATCTGCCTGCCTCTGCCTCCCGAGTGCTGGGATTAAAGGCGTGCACCACCACCACCTGGCTCCAGGTACAGTTTTGAACCAAGGTCTCATCTACTCCCACCACCTCAGGTACCTAAGGAACTCCCCTTCCTCCTCCTTGTCTCCCAGATAGCTGCCCCCAAGTCCTTCCCTCTCAGTGGCCTCATGTCATCGGTCATGGAGAGCTAGTGTTTCCCTTCGGTTCCCTTCAGTCTGTGCAAGCCTTCATGACATGCATGACTAATAGAACGTAGCAGAGGCAGGATCCTCTGACCTTCAAATCTAGGACATAAAAACCTTGTGCCTTCCATCTGGATGTCTCCGAAGTAAATTACAATGTAAAGAATATGATTGTTCCCACCTTACTAAAAGTATCCCTGAAGAAGGAAGAAAATCCCGAGAAGAGCTAAAGTGCTACACGTTTGTGGAGCTGCCATTTTGGAAATAGGTCACATTGCACCAGCCACCACTGACACCTCAAGGCTCAGAGCCAAACTGCTTCACTAAACCTTTGAACTCTGACCTACAAAAGTCATCGGGGTTTTTTGAATTCAATCAATTTAGTGATTGGATAGTTTTATGTAACAATCTTTAAACTGAAACGATCATTTAAACATACTCGAGCTTCTTGGCTTAAGAAATTACAACGGGACTCGGATTTGGAATGTAAAAAATAAATTAATAATAAAAAGTTCTACTTAAAATAAAATAAATTACAATAGGGCCAGGCAATGGTGGTGCATGCCTTTAATCCCAGCACTTGGGAGGCAGTGGCAGGTGGATCTTAGTGAGTTCGGAGTCCCCAGCATGGTCTGCAAAGTTAGCTTCAGGACATCCAGGACGGTTACACAGAGAAACCTGTCTCGAAAAACCAAACCAAGAAAAAAAGGAAAGAAATAACAACAGGGCTGGAGGGACACTTCAGTTGTTAAGAGCACTGGAAGCCCTTCCAGAAGACCCAGGTTCAATTCACAGCATCCACACGGCAGCTCACAACCATCTGTTACTCCACTTCAAGACATTCAATTCTCTCTTCTGGCCTCTGTGGGCACCAGACATGCATGTGGTACTCAGACATAGATGTAGGCAAAATTCTTATACGCATAAAATAAAATTTAAATTTGAAAAAGAAACAATAGCCAGGTATGATGCTGCTTGCTTTAAATACCATCACTGAAGAAAGCAGAGGCAGGTCGAGGTCTGGGAGTTCAAGACCAGCCTGGTCTACACAGCCAGTTCTAAGTCTTCATGGTTGAGATCCAGTCAAAAAGAGGAAAGCAGGAAGGAAGGAAAAAGGAAGGACGGAGGAAGGAAGGAAGGAAGAAAGAAAGAAAGGAAGGAAAAAGGAAGGAGGAGGAAGGAAGGAAGAAAGGAAGAAAGAAAGGAAGAAAGGAAGAAAGGAAGGAAGGAAGGAAGGAAGGGAGGAAGGAAGGAAGGAAGGAAGGAAGGAAGGAAGGAAGGAAGGAAGGAAGGAAGAAAGAAAGGGTCATTCCAAAGACCCTAATTAAGCTCACTGGGTCATCACTACCAACATCAACAACAAATACGTCAAAGCAAGGAGGGGGCTTGATGGAAAGGAAAAGCTTTTCAGCCAGACAGGAAAGAGGATGAGAAAGGGTAATGGGGAGTGGGAGGTTCCAAAAGTTAGTATACACATGCACAAAATTGCCAAAGAATAACTTCGAAAAGGAAGCAACACTCCCCAAAGAAACCTTTACATCCTCCCCACGCTGAGAGCCAATCTCTTTTCTCTGCTTCACATCTAGTCTTAAGTGCTGGTCAAGTCTCTGCGTCTCCCTCTCATGCCTCCATTCAATTTAGTCAGCCTTCCAGCCTCTTCTGCGATGAGAAATCCTGACGTTCTTTTGCCTTTATCTGTCTGGGCCTCCCTATAGCTCCTAACCTTCATCCATTTCCACTGGAAGCAAGCCCTCCCCTCTGCTTCTTCCTCCCCACTGAGCCTTCCTGCTCAGCCTTTCCTCATCTCCCAATCTTAAATAAATTACATCCCCTTGGCTTCTGTGCCAGACAGTTTTATGCCAACTTGACACAAGCTAAAGTCATCTGAGAGAAGGGAACCTCAATTAAGGAAATACCTTCATAACACTGACCTGTAGGCAACCCTGTAAGGCACTTTCTTAATTGGTGATTGATGGTGGAGGGTCCAGCCCAATGTGGGTGGAGCCATCCCTAAGCAGGTGGCCCTGGGTTCTATAAGAAAGCAGGCTGAGCAAGCCATGGTGAGCGAGCCAGTAAGCAGTGCCCACCATGGCCTCTGCATCAGTTCCTGTCTCCAGGTTCTGACTGTGATTTCCTGTCCTGCCTTCCTTCAAAGATAAACAGTGATATGAAAGTGTACGCCAAATACACCCTTTTCTCCCCAAGTTGTTTTGGTCATGGTGTTTCATCATAGCAATAGAAACCCTAACTAAGGTAGCTTCCTACTCCAATTCTCCCCTATTACAGCATTGCCTTGCTGGCAATATTATACTAAATCTACTACAGGAATAAAAAAAAGAGTTGAATTTTAATATTAAAACCACAAAGATATCACAATAACAAGAGACTGAAACAATCCAAATGTCTCTCCATGGAAGAATGGATGAAAAAAAGATGTGTCATATACAGACCATGGAATGTTATTCAGCCTTAAAAATGAAGGAAATTATGTCATATCCTTCAGTATGGCTAAAACTTGGGGAATATTATGCTATGAGAACTAAGACAGTTGTCATACCTATAAAGAGAAAGGTAAGTACCATATAGTCCTTCTTAGAAAGTCAAATTCACAGAAGCAGAAAGAGCAGAAGTTCTTAGGCTGAAAGAAAATGAAATGGAAAAAAAGATGAAATGGGTATGTTGTTATTGTTGCTGAATACATACATCTAGAATTTTTGTTCAGCATGATTTATATGTTCTATACACAGCAATGTGAGATGGACACCTAAAATGGTTAAGATGATAAATTTTATGTATTACTATTATAACATATAAAATAAAAGATATTGCTATAACATAGTGACATTTTATATATTAATATTTTAAATAGTTCTTTTTAAATGCACTACTATACAACCAATTTTTCAACATAGGGATAAAATTTTGTTCCATGAAGAAAATATTTCACTTTAGATGATAGAATATTGAAAATTACATTTATTTACTCATTATTCATTCATTTATTTAGATAATATATGCATATGTGCAAGTTCAGGCATGTGCACACATGTCCCAACGTCCATGCGGAGGTCACACACTCCCTCTTCTCTCGTGTGGATTTCTCGGATCAAACTCAGGTCATCAGTAGATGCCTCTACCTACTGAGACATCTCACCAGACTGATAAAATATTTGATGTGCTCCAGGCATATCTGCATTTGGAAAGGATGGAAGCCTTGATTATATACCCCAGGAAGTCCTGGGATTATGGGGCTAGAGAGACAGGAAGGTGATAGGCTCCTGTTCTGTTTTGCCTCCCAAAACCCATCACAGTCACACTGTAAATAACAGACCCTGGGAATGATAAAAACTAGGTCTTCCTGATTTCCTGCCCTTCATCCATCCTGGTTTCATTCTGTTTGTTTGTTTTCTTGTGTCACATTATCTTTGGGGATGTAATCAGTAGCAAAGGAAGGAAAAGGGAAGAAAGAAAGACCCCAAATGTAACAGCAAACTTGAAGTCTTGGTGCTTCTGTAAGAATGCTTCTTTAAAAAAAAAAAGCTACCATTCTCTTGCAATAAGTTCCTGTGATCATTGTGTTGTGTTTTTATGTTTAAGAATGGGGTGGTGGTGAAATGGGAATGCTGTTGAAAAATATCCTGTCTGTGGATGCAACATTTGGCAAAGATTCCCAGGTACTCAAAAGAGTCAAAGCCCACCTCAACAGCACTTTGTGGTACCCAGGACCTTGGCAACCAGCAGAACAAAACAAAGAACCAAAGGCACCAGGCATTGCATATGGAGAGGGAGGGGATCTTCTAGGCTGCTGCAGAGCCCTGTAGGGGGTGTGGAAAATGACTAAAATGTCTCAAGACTGTTTAAGGAGGTGGGGAGATGATTCAGCAGCTAATGTGCCCGCAGTACAAACATGCACCCCCAGTTCCCACATAAAATCTGGGTGTGGTGATATATATCTGGAACTGCAGCAATGGGGAGGCTGGGCAGGGTAGGGGGATGAATGACATTGGGGGGCTCCCTGGGCAGGCAGCCTAGCTGAAACAGAGAGCTCCAGGTTCGGTTAGAGACCTTGTCTCAAAGCACAGCATGGAGAACCATAGAGGAGGATGCCCAAAGTCAACCTCTGGGCTCCACCTACACATGCACAGGTGAGCATGCCACACACATGTGCATACACAAACATACGCAGAAGACTGTTTCAGATCCACCATCTTTTAAGTGGTATCCTGTGGAATCAGTTTAACAAAGATAAAGTCTGTGGCCACAAAGGACTAATTTTGACTTGTTGCTGCCTATCAGAAACGTTACAAAAAATAAAACCATGTAACAAAGGTCAAGAATACGAACTGACAGTACACATGGAGGCCTCAGGCTACCTCTGCCTAAGAAACAGGCAAGGCTGTAACTTATCCCCCTTGCCCTTTTACTCAGCAGGGTATACCCCCTGGTTCAATTGGTCCAATTCGCTCTGCAAACATGGAGAGGTTTTTATTTCTGTGGAACGTTGCAGATGTGATCGCTGGTAGGTGAAAGGCAATGTGTTTAGAGGCTGCCTGCCAGCCCCTGGGCTCCCACTTCCTGTCTCGTTTTTCTCAGTAAGGTTAAGAATGAGTCATCACGAGAGTTGGAGGAGAGTCGGGTTCTTTGCCAATGCATCTACGCAATGATTCTGAATCAGAAACGGTTCCCGCACGGGAGATTTGTGAGGCAGATGCGTCTGAGCTGTTCTTCTCTCCCGCAGCCACACCCCTTACTCTGCATCACTTCCAGGAACTCCCCCCTGCAGATGTGCGCCAGAAGAAAGTCTGGAAGAGATGAGTTGTGTCACCATCGTTTCTCAGCTTTAATTTCGTGTGTGAAGTGTGAGGTCAGCATTTCCTGTCTGTCTGGTGTCTTCCACCTTGCTTTTGGAGACAAGGTCTCTCATTGAAACTGTGGCTCGGTGGTTGGCTAGACTAGCTGGCCATTGAACTCCTGGAGTCTGCTTATCTTTCCTTCCCTCAGCAAGCAATGAAGTGACAGACACGTGCCATGGCTTTTTCATGTGTGCTGGACAACCAAACTCAGAGCCTCATAGTTGCTTGGCAAGCTCTTTACCAAATGAGCCATCTCCCCAGTTACTAATTGTGTGTGTGTGTGTGTGTGTGTGTGTGTGTGTATACGCGTGCGCGCGCGCACACACACACGTGTGTGCATGCCTTTAGTCCCAGCATTTGTACTTGGAAGCAGAGGAAGGTGGATCTTTGTGAGTTCTCAGACAGCTGGGGCAACATAATGAGATCCTGACTCAAAAAAGTTTTTTTTTTGTTTAAATTGAGAAGGCTACAATTGTCTCTTCATGATTACATGAACTTACATAAAGTTTTCACTCAAACTTTTTTGAAGATATATATTTAATAATGCCTGTACTGAATGTCTACTAGGCATCAGGTTCTATCATAGGGGTTTTTGTTTGTTTGTTTTGGTTTTGGTTTTTGTGGGTTTTTTGTTTTTTGAGATCTGCCTGCCTCTGCCTCCCAAGTGCTGGGATTAAAGCTGTGTGCTACCAATGCCCAGCCTATCAAAAGTATTTTATATACAACTTCCAATTGAATCATCATACTAAAGAAAACATAATATAGATGAGGAAACCAAAGACAAAGAGTTTAATAAGGAGTAGGCTAGAGACATGGTTCAGAGGTTAAGAGCACTGGATAATGTTCCAGAGGACCCAGGTTTAATTCCCATGACCCACATGGCAGCTTATAAACATCTGTAATTCCAGTTCCAGGATCCAATGCCATCTATTTTAAGGAACTTATTAGATCCACACACATAACAAGGAGTAGAACGTGAGCTCGAAAATAGCCTAATAAAATGATGAAAGTACACAGAATTGTTCTATGTGCATTAAAATTATACCTATATGATGAATTCAAACACCCAGGAAATTAGAACCTTTAGATTTAGTAAATGTCTCACTTCACTGATAGCAATAGATATAAATACTGATTTTTCTGAGTATTTTTTAACATTTTTTATTTAATTTGGTTATGTGTGCGAGTGTGTAAATATCACAGACAATGTTCAGGAATCTGTTCTCTCCTTCAGCCATGTGGGTTTCAGGGATTGGACTCAGGTTGTCAAACTTGGTGGCCTCTGGGTCATCTCATCATTCCAATACTGACATTTTTCTAATATTCTTGCCACAGTTAGTAATTACTTAATACTTTATGTCCAATCATACAGCCTTCTATGTTGGTTAATTCTATATGTAAACGTAGCTGAGTCATGCTGTCCAGACATGGATCAAATATTATGCTAGGTATTTCTGTAAAAGTATTTTTGGAAGAGATTAATGTTTCAATTTGTGGCCTTTGATGTGGGTGGGTCTCCTCTACTCATCTAAAGATTTGAACACATGAGAGTGGGCATGTTCAAGGTAATACAGTTCAGACAAGACTTGAATTGGAAAAAAAAAACCAAACCAAACCAACAAACAAACAAAAACCCTCCCCCAAATATGAGGAGACTCTGGCAGCAGGTACCTTCCAACTGGAATTGCTGGTTTTGAGTTTGTCAGCTTTTGTGACTACATGAGTCAATTTGTTGAAATGCGTTCTGCCAGTTCTGTTTCACTGGAGAACTCTAAAACACCAGCAAAGTTCACAAGTCAGAAGACAGATCTGATAAAAGATAAGCCATCATGAGACATAGTCCCAATATTGAAAATGTTAAAAAACAAAAATGGTTTGGAGCCAGTGAAATGGCTCAGTGGGTAGAGGTATGTATGCCCAGGCCTGACAACCTATGTTCGATTCCTGTATCATATAAAGGAACAGGAACAGGTTCCTGGGAGTCATCATCTGAAGTTTATTGGAGCTTAATAAACCTAGGCTCTATCTTGGACTTACTGAATTAGATTTTCCAGAATTAAATTATCCAGGAATAGAACTGGGGCATGTGTATTTTTGTTAAGCCCCATACTGTGGCACTGTGCTGCTTAATCTCAGTTGTCAATCTGATGAGCTCTAGAATCCCCTGGGGGATAAACCTCTGAGCATTCTTGTGAGAGATCTTGCTTAGGTTAATTGAGGTCAGAACACCCATCCACTGTGGGTGGCACTATTCCCAGAGCAAAGGTCCTGAACTGTACAAAGAGGAGAAAGTCAGCCAAGCCTGAGCATTCACAGTTCTCTGCTTCCTGACTGTGGATGCAGTGTGACCAGTTGCTCAGCCTCTGCCACTGGCACACTCCCACAATGATGGACTATAACCTAGAACTGTGAGCCAAAATAAATCCTTCCTTCATTCAGTTGATTTCATCACAACAGGAGAAGTTGCTAAGACAGACAGCAATGGCTGGATGGAAATAACTACATTATAAGACACTAGAATTCCTTCAGAACAGCCAAAAGATTCAAGGCATTGCTGAGGTAATAAATAACCCTCAAGTCCCAGTGTTCTTGCTTCATGAGTGATGCTGGCTGGGCAAAGGGTCTGTTGCTATATTTGTCCTTTGCTTAGTGTGTTAGGGTCCTGGTAGGAAGCAGATGACATACTCACCTGAGTGGTAAAGGAGATATTGATTGATAGATGGGCTATTTACAAATGTGAGGGTCACCAACATCAGTGGTCAGAAAATACGAGTAGGTACCACTCAGCAAGAACTGGAGATCTTTGGTGGAAGAACGCAACCAGCCCACGGCAACCTGGAAGGCAGAGGTGAACGGTAAAGGATGTTACCCTCCTTTGCCTCCTGAGTTCTCGTCTAGATACTTTGTTTTCATTAGTGGAACTTAAGCAAATGGCGGAGGACAAAAAGAAAAAGAAAAAACAAACAACTGTTGATTGGATCCATAAGAGGCAGTCTTCAAAGCAAAAAGCATCATGGAAATCATGGACCCTGGGCAAATGTGAACTATTTAACACACCCTGGACCATAGACTGAATGTCTTTTGAAACATTGTCACTCAACAAAGTGTAAGCAAAGAAAACAAAGTTAAGCATAAATTTGTTTCTAACTACCCACTACACTTACATATCATTGGCCTCCACCAATCACATAACTAAACTTGACTACAAAAGATGAGAGAATAAAATCTTCCTCCATGGAGGGAAAATTAGTGCTGACGACAGTAAATGCTCTGCCATGGATGGTTGGGAGTCTGGGGAGAGGACAACTTGGGGTTTTGCTGTTGGTTTTTTTTCTGTATATCTTATCTTCTCTTTTGAATTTTGCAACTTATTAACATATTTTTCTTCTAAAAACCATAGAGAATAGTAAAAAAATAATGCTAAATGAGGTCCTATAGCCAACATTTGTCTTTCTTGGCTGCCCATCCGTCCTAGCTACTCATGCCAGTTAAACCTTCTACTGTGGAAGCTGACTAGTCCAGACACATGTTCTCTGCTCCTGATTCTTATGCTGCTAGAACATTGGCTGTATGACCAATTTCTGTCTAACAGTTGTACTTTCCCAAGGCTATAAATTGTTATATAGAGGGACAGAGAGGGCGCTGAACAAATCCTTGAATGTGATAAATGGTGGTGGGAGTGATGACTACACCCAGTTCCCAGTGCTAGCCATGCTAGGAAAGTCACCCAGAGTGCCTGCCACCCAACAACAATGGCATTATGCACTCATAAAACTAATTGTACGACAATATTTTTATCACTTTTTATTTATGTAGGCTCTATGTTGATCCTGCCTCATCTGGAGAGTGTAAGAATGATCAAAATGATCTTTTGATTATATTTTATTTGCCTCTTGAATTAGGCAGCTCAGTGCCTGTTGCTTGAATCTGAGAGTCTTGCCCTGCTACTACAAGCGAGTAAAAGAACCAAATAAAATGCTCTTTAACTTTCAATGTAAAAGAGGAAATCTTAGGAATTGGATAAATTAGTTATGTTATGCTCCTCCTTACTATCATCAAATGCTTTGTAAGAAACAGTTTAAGAAAGGGATGTGTGTTCCAGATTGTAAAGTATACACAGGCAATGATGGAGTCACCTTGGAAGAGTGAGATAACTGATCAGGAGACAGTGGACAGGAAGAGTGGAGTGGCTACCAAACCTCTAGACCTTCCAGAGTGACTCACTTTCCCTGGCAAAACTCCACCTCTTTCTGATTCCTCAGTTTTTCAAAACAGCGCCACCAGGTGGGCAGCAAGTGTTCAAATACATGAGCCTGTGGGACACATTCTACATTCAAACCGCCACATAAGCAAATCACAGCTTAAGTTCCCTTTGGCAGTTCCATACACAGAAAGTCTTTCTGAGCTGGCAGCTTATCGCTGCCTAGAAAAGCTGCAAGGTCAACCCAGGGTTTAAACTATTTTAAGCTCTTGAAAATAAAGGGAGTGTTGACAACAATTCAGATACAAAGGGTTTGGGGATTATTTTTGTTTAGGGTTTTTCTTTTAATTGCTGAGATATTGTGAAAGCATAACTGCTCAGTTCTAGTACAGCAAGGCTAGGGCTGGGTATCCAACTGGGATTAGCAGATCCCTGTTTTCCCATATGAATCAGAGGATTGCTAAAAATCCTTCATGGCTGATACTCTGCTTCTAAATTGGTAAAGCCCAGAGGGAATTCTGTTCCAAATTGGGTAAAGCAGCTCAAAAAGGCGCCAGCCAGATAGAGTCAGACGGAATTACCCTGTATTTAGCTTCTCTGTACTTAAGATTCTTTCCCGAAAATGCATGCTTAGAGATAGGGTCATGGTTGCCTTTCAGATTACTCCGATCGGGACTTACCATTTGCAAGTAATGATCTTTCTCTGCTTTATATTGTCTTCCTTAAACTCAAGAGCTAAGACTCTGGTGACCAGAGCAGCATAAGAGACAATTCATGAGGCAAGAGATTAGCAGATTACATCTGTCCTCAAGACGGTTGCACCCAGCAACAGGCAGACAGAGAGGTGTGTTCAGAAGCACACACAGGCAGTTCTTAAGTACCAGTGAAAACCTACAGAGCAAGGGAAATCTATGCTTTTGTTCAATTAGACGTTTCACCAGCCCTTCACCTTATCCTTATTTTTTCTCTGAAATATATAATCTCTCATTTAAAAATCCTGGAAGGAGTTCAAAATCAAATCTGTTCCAGCGAATGTAATTGAAGTGCATTGTAGAAACCTTTTAGTCATGTTTCTCTCCCGATTGTACACAGTTAGAATAGGAAGAAGGCTTTATTTGCACTTCAAAACAGCCTCCTCTCTCTTGTTGCTGACTCAGACTTCTAAAAAGACCAGCCTGTAGCCAAGGCCAACAATAAAAATTCAAAGTGGAGAAAGCCATCCTCCAAAATTATTGCCCCAAAGAGGGCTTTTCCAAATGATGAGTTGGGTGAAGTTTGTCTTCCATGTCTGACATTCTAACACAGTTGCTGGTTTCTTGACCCCTCAGATGGCAACACCTCCTCTCCATCCATCCGAAACTCTTACCAACAAGGGATTGATACCACATACTCACATTTAGCTGGAAAGCAGTGCACAGCCTCCTTCTGTAATTCAACCCACTGCGAACTTCCTAACATATGCCCACTAGAACCTCTCACTGAGTATGCCGACAAGCTCCTCCACCCAGAATTCAATGGACACTCTTCACTCTTGTACTATCTAGACTCCTACAGGAGAGAGGCATTGAAGTGGCTATTTTCATATTCTACTTTTTATGAAATTTATTTTTTATTTAATTTTACATTCCAACCAAAATTCTCCCTCCCACTCCTCCTCCGGCCCTCCCTTGTCTCCCCCCAGCCCACCCCCGATCCACTCCTCCCAACAGGTAAGGGCTCCCATGGGAAGGCAACACAGTTTGACACATTAATTTGGGACAGGACCAAGCCCCTCCCACTCTGAGTTAAGGGTGAGCATGGCATCCCCTCATAGGGAATGTGCTCCAATAAGCTAGCACCAGGGATAGATCCTGTTCCTACTGCCAGGAGTCCCTCAGATAGCCTAAACTTCACAAATGTTGCCACATATGGAGAGTCTAGTTCAGAGTCTAGAGTTCATGAGTTTCAATGAGCTTGGTTCAGCTGCCTCTATAGATTTTTCCATCTTGACCTCCCTTGCTCATGTATTCCCTCCTCCTTTCTTCTACTAGATTCCCGGAACTCAGCCTGGTACTTAGTTGTGGATCTCTGCATTTGGTTCCATCAATTACTGGATGAGGGCTCTATGATGATAGTTGGGGTATTCACCAATCTGATTACAGGGGTAGACCAGTTCAGGTACCCTCTCAACTATTGCTAGGAGTCTTAGCTGGGGTCATCCTTGTGGATTCCTGGGAATTTCCCTAGCACCAGGTTTCTCCCTAAACCCATAGTGACTCTCTCTATCAAGCTATCTTTTTCTCTTTTTCCTTGCTCTTTTTCTCCATCCCTCCCCTTTACTGGTCCCTCACCCCCAGTTTATCCAGAAGATCTCATCTAATTACCCTTCCCAGGGCGATCATGTGTCCCTTTTAGGGTTCTCCTTGATACCTAGCTTCTCTGGAGCTGTGGATTGTAGCTTGGTAATCCTTTGCTTCACATCAAATATCCACTTATGAGTGAGTACATACCATGTTTGTTCTTCTGAGGCTGGGTTACCTCACTCAGGATGTTTTTTCTAGTTCTATCAATTTGCCTGCAAATTTCATGATGTCATTGCTTTTTATAGCTGGGTAATACTCCACTGTGTAACTGTACCACGTTTTCTTTATCCATTCTTCAGTTGAGGTGTATCTAGGTTGTTTCCAGGTTCTGGCTTTATTATGAATAATTCTTCTATGAATACTGTTAAGCAAGTATCCTTATGGTATGACTGAGTGTCCTTTGGGTATATACCTAAGAGTGGTATCACTGGGTCTTGAGGTAGGTTGATTCCCAGTTTTCTGAGAAGTTGCCACACTGAATTCCAAAAGGCTATACAAGTTTGCACTCCCACCAGCAGTGGAGGAGTGTTCCCCTGACCCCACATCCTCTCCAACATAAGCTGTCCTTGGTATTTATGTTCTTAGCCATTCTGACAGGTGTAAGATGTTATATGAGTCATTTTTATTGGCATTTCTCTGATGATTAAGGATGTTGAGCAATTCCTTAAGTGTCTTTCAGCCATTTGAGATTTATCTGATGAGAATTCTTTGTTTAGCTCTATACCCCATTTTTAAATTGGATTATTATGTATTTTGATGTCTAGTTTCTTGAGTTCATTAGTTCATTATATATTTTGGAGATAAGCCCTCTGTCAGATGTGGGGTTGGTGAAGATCTTTTCCCATTCTGTAGGCTGTCATTTTTGTCTTACTTACCATGGCCATTGCCTTACAGAAGCTTTTCAGTTTCAGGAGGTTCCATTTATTGGTTGTTACTCTCTGTGTCTATGATGCTGGTGTTATATTTAGGAAGCAGTCTCTTGTACCAATGTGTTCAAGACTACTTCCCTCTTTCACTTCTCTCAGATTCAATGCAACTGGATTTTTGTTGAGGTCATTGATCCACTTGGACTTGAGTTTTGTGCATAGTGATAGGTATGGACCTATTTGCAATCTTCTACATGTTAACATCCTGTTATGGCAGCACCATTTGTTAAAGACACTTTCCTTTTTCCTTTGTACCTTTTTGGCCTCGTTGTCAAAAATCAGGTGTTTATCATTGTGTGGACTGATGCCAGGGTCTTCGATTCCATTCCATTGGTCCATGTGTCTTTTTATGTCAGTACCAACCTG